ACTTTACACCCAGCACTGTTTGCACTTTCCATAAACTGCATTATCTCATGTAATCCTCACTATAGCCCAGTGAGGCATGTAAAACTATTCCCCATAATACAGATGGGGAAACAGAGATGTGACTTACCTACCCAAGGTCACTTGGCCAATATGTGACAGAGTCACAATTTCATCCCAGACTGACCTTGCTCCAAAACTCATAGTTTCCACTGTACCATTGAGTATCAAAAACCTGTTGATCTGAGACCACTGATTTTTCACAAGTTGCTGCTGATATCAGAGGAACAGCTGCATGATAAGTGTTGTACATTCAGCTATTATATTATTTTAGAAATATTTCCGCTGCATTGAAAGATGACACTTACTTTTGATACTGGTTTCAATAGGAATTAGTTACTTGGAAGGTACTGAATGGAAAACACAAAAAATTGTGCCTAGATTTAGAACTGGAATTTATAAATTCAGATGTGATTTGGTTTAGCTTTGTTCTCTCACAAAATTATCTGGCTGACAATCTTAGTTCTGATCTGGAGTGTCATTCTTCAACTGTCAATGCCCTTGTTCTCCTTTATTTACCCATTATATTTATTTATTATTTACTTATTTATTTTGAGGCAGAGTCTCGCTCTGTTGCCCAGGCTGGAGTGCAGTGACACGATCTCTGCTCACTGCGACCTCCACCACCCAGGCTGAAGTGATTCTCCTGCCTCCCAAGTAGCTGGGATTTCAGGCACACACCACACACCTGGCTAATTTGTGTATTTCTGTAGAGATGGGGTTTCGCCATGTTGGCCAGGCTGGTCTCGAACTCCTGACCTTAGGTGATCCGCCCTCTTGGCCTCCCAAAGTGCTGGGATTATAGACATGAGCCATTGCACTTGGCCTATTTATCCCTTATCTTATCCTGATTATATCCTAATTATTCCTTCTGGAGATTGTGCTTTCTTTTTATTCCCATTCATACTTTAGTCATTTCCTGCACATTCTTTTTTTTTTTTTTTGAGACGGAATCTTGCTCTGTTGTCCAGGCTGGAGTACAGTGGCACGATCACTGCAAGCTCCGCCTCCTGGGTTCACGCCATTCTCCTGCCTCAGCCTCTGCAGTAGCCGGGACTACAGGCACCTGCCACTACACCCGGCTAAGTTTTTTGTATGTTTAGTAGAGACAAGGTTTCACCGTGTTAGCAAGGATGGTCTCGATCTCCTGACCTCGTGATCCACCCACCTCAGCCTCCCAAAGTGCTGGGATTACAGGCGTGAGCCGCCGCGCGCATTCTTTATTCTCTAGTTTAGCTTAACATTGAGCAGTCAAATCAGAACCCCAATACACTTTTTCTTTTTTTATAGACAGAGTCTCACTCTGCCGCCTGGGCTCGAGTGCAGTGGCATTATCTCGGCTCATTGCAACCTCCGCCTCCTGGGTTCAAGCAATTCTCCTGCCTCAGCCTCCCGAGTAGCTGGGATTACAGGCGCCTGCCATTATGCCCAGCTAAGTTTTTGTATTTTTAGTAGAGACGGGGTTTCACCGTGTTGGGCAGGATGCTCTTGAACTCCTGACCTCGTGATTCACCCGCCTCGGCCTCCCAAAGTGCTGGGAATACAGGCGTGAGCCACTGTGCCCGGCCAATACACATTTTTTTAAACTAACAATTCACGGCCGGGCGTGGTGGCTCACACCTGTAATCCCAGCACTTTGGGAGGTCAAGGCAGGCGGATCACTTGAGGTCAGGAGTTTTGAGACCAGCCTGGCCAACATGGTGAAACCCCTCACTACTAAAAATACAGAAATTAGCCAGGTGTGGTGGCATATGCCTGTAATCCCACCTACTCAGGAGAGAGGCAGGAGAATTGCTTGAGTCTGGGAGGCAGAGGATGCAGTGAGCTGAGATTGCGCCACTGCACTCCAGTCTGGGAGACAGAGTGAGACCATGTCTTGAAATAAATAAGTAACAATTCACTTAAGAAGTATTTATTGAACACCTGTACGTGAAGCACTGCTTTAGGTGCTGAGACACAGTGGTGGGGGAAAAAGCCCACCCTCACCCTCACAGAACCTACATGGAGGGATGGGCAATAAACAAAATAACCGTCTAAACAAAACATCAGCCTCAGTGCTGGAATTACATTTCTGGGTCCATAAACTTTCAGTCAGCCCAGCCCATCCTTTAGAGGATGGGACAGACTTATGACACCTCCCTAGAGCTTCAATCTACACTGATTCACAACTGCAAAGGGGCTTCATCGAGTCCCTTTAATTCTGAGTTCATTTCTTCACTGGTAAATGGAGGTCCTACAGCTTACTTTACAAGGGTTTTGGGTTTTTTGTTTAATTTGGTTTGTTTGTTTGAAGACAGGGCCTTACTCTGTTGGCCAGGCTGGAGTGTGGTGGAACAATCTCAGCTCACTGCAGCCTCAACTTTCTGGGTTCTGGTGATCCTCTGGCCTCAGCCTCCCAAGTAGCTGGGACTACAGGCACATGCCAGCACACCTACGATTTTTTTTTTTTTTTTTGTAGAGACAGGGTTAATGAGAATCAAACTAGATCTTGTTTGGTTTTCCACAAAGATTGGGACCGTGCTTGCTGGGAGTCATAGCAGAGGTCAACTGCATTTGATCTGAAGGCCTATCCCTAGTTTTCCACTTTGTCATTTTCTCGTTTTAGGTGAGCCCTATGCCCAATGCCTAGACTCTAATATTTTTTTCTAGAGATGCACTGTACTTTTTTTTTTATTTTTTGGAGACAGTCTTACTCTGCCTCCTGAGGGATTACAGGCACCCACCACCACGCCCAGCTCATTTTGTATATTTAGTAGAGATGGGGTGTCACCATGTTAGCCAGGCTGATCTCGAACTCCTGACCTCAGGTGATCCACCCGCCTCAGCCTCCCACAGTGTTGGGATTACAGGTGTGAGCCACCGCCCCCAGCTGATGCACTGTACTTTTAAAATCCCTGTATAATACTGTAGAATGATGCCTTTTTAAAAACCGAGGCACAGAGGTCCTGAGAACATAGGCCCTGAATGATACTTTTAAGGGCTTAAAAACTAGAATCCAAAGCCTGGCAAATGCCTGACAATCAGAAACAAATATTGCTTGGCTGGGCACGGTGGCTCACACCTGTAATCCCAACACTTTAGGAGGCCAAGGCGGGCAGATCACCCGAGTTCAAGAGTTCGAGACCAGGCTGGCCAGCCTGGCGAAACCCCATCTCTACCAAAAATATAAAAATTCAGCTGGGCGCGGTGGCTCACTCCTGTAATCCCAGCACTTTGGGAGGCCGAGGTGGGCAGATCATGAAGTCAGAAGACAGAGACCATCCTAGTTAATACAGTGAAACCTCGTCTCTACTAAACATACAAAAAATTAGCTGGGTGTGGTGGCACATGCCTGTAGTTCCAGCTACTCAAGAGGTCTGAGGCAGGAGAATCGCTTGAACCTGGGAGGCGGAGGTTGCAGTGAGCCGAGATTACACCACTGCACTCCAGCCTGGGTGACAGAGTGAGACTCCATCTCAAAAACAAAAAAAAATTAGCCAGGCGTGGTGGTGGGCGCCTGTAGTCCCAGCTATGCAGGAGGCTGAGGCAAGAGTATCACTTGAACCCAGGAGGTGAAGGTTGCAGTGAGCTGACATCCCGTCACTGCACTCCAGCCTGAGGGACAGAGCAAGACTTTGTCTCAAAAAAGAAAAAAGTAATATTGAGTAATATTGTCAAATATTGAATAAATCCCTTCAAGTTCATATATTTTAATTAAAAGTGATTCAGTTAAAGCAACACCCCAAGTTGCTAGAGGGATTCAGTACCCAGGTAAAGATCTCAGTTTATTCCATTTTTTGGAAAAAAAAAAAAAAAAAACCTACCGGAATTACACTTAACAATGGCGCCCTCTAGCGGGCCACTGCAAGGAGCTAATCACTAAAGATTGCTTTTAGATAGACTTTTATTAGTTCCACTTAGTAGGTAATCACCGTTCAGCAGATACTGGCTGAACAGCATAGGCTGGCAGGCTGGGGGACACGGAGTAAGGAGGGTAAATAAGCTGACATATGACCCTGGTGAAAACCAAACCCAGCTACTCGGGAGGCTGAGGCAGGAAGATTGCTTGAGTCCAAGTCTGTAGTGAGCCATGATCATGCCAGTGTACTCCAGCCTGGATTAGACACCTTGTCTCCTAAAAAGTTAGGGCTCTGTCGAAGGCATTTTGTCTGCCAAGCCCTTCCTCAGCTGTCCTCAGCTCCTTATTATCACCCAGAACAAAAGAACAGAAAACAATGATGTTAAGACATCTATAGCTGGGCGTGGTGGCTCATGCCTGTAATCCCAGCACTTTGGGAGGCTGAGGCGGGGGGATCACAAGGTCAAGAGATCAAAACCATCCTGGCCAACATGGTAAAATGCCATCTCTACTAAAAATACAAAAATTAGCCTGTAATCCCAACTACTTGGGAGGCTGAGGCAGGAGAATCGCTTAAACTCAAGAGGCGGAGGTTGCAGTGAGCTGAGATTGCGCCACTGCACTCCAACCTGGTGACAGAGTGAGTCTCTGTTTCAAAAACAAAAAGACATCTATAAATATCAAAAAATATGGCTGGGTGCGGTGGCTCACGCCTGTAATCCCAACACTTTGGGAGGCTGAGGCGGGTGGATCACGAGGTCAAGAGATCTAGACCAGGCCGGGCATGGTGGCTCATGCCTGTAATCCCAGCACTTTGGGAGGATGAGGTGGGTAGATGACGAGGTCAGGAGATGGAGACCATCCTGGCTAACACGGTGAAACCCCGTCTCTACTAAAAATACAAAAAATTAGCCAGGCGTGGTGGCATGCTGAAGAATGTGAGAATTCCTGTGCATTGTTTTTTCTGATGACTATCGAAAAATGGTGCCCTGATGTAGGTTGGGGGAACATTTTTAAAAAGGATATTATGGCGTCTTTTTATCCTTTAACCCTGAATTATCCACAAGTTAATGCACTACTACTTCAATTATAGGAGGAAAACAGCTTTGCTTTTCCAGTCTCCATTTTTCTTAGTTTATTTTCATGTTTCTCAGAGTACATGGACCCAGAACATTCACCCTATTATGAATAATTCAGCATCTTACAAGTCACCCTCCAAGCAGGACAGATTAAGGCAGCCTGGTATGGACATAATCGCATCTATGGCTATAAGGAATATGCAACAGAAAATCAGATTCCAACCAAGCAAAAGTCTGCTTGGTTTTGTGTTTTTTTTTTTTTAAACAGAGTCTCGCTCTGTCACCCAGGCTAGACTGCGGTACGAGATTTCAGCTCACTGCAACCTCTGCCTCCCAGGTTCAAGCGATTCTCCTGCCTCAGCCTCCCGAGTAGCTAAGGACTACAGGTGCGCACCACACCTGGCTAATTTTTTGTACTTTTAGTAGAGATGGGGTTCACCATGTTGGCCAGGCTGGTCTCGAACTCCCGACCTCAGGTGATCTGCCCACCTCGGCTTCCCAAAGTGCTGGGATTACAGGCATGAGCCACCGTGTCTGGCCTGCTTGGTTAACTATTCTTCCAACTTTACCAGCTGCATTCTCAGTCATTTAAAGGATATAGGAATGGAGGCCAAAACAGACCATTTGGGGGTCAGGGATGCCATGTTTTCTACTGGGGCAATTTCATGGGGGCACTGTGCCTTGTGAATGACAGTGAGTGGAAGACAAAGGATTCTCCATATTATTCCAGGATGGGAGGCCATTCGACTGGAACACCATGCACTTTGAAAGACCTGAAACTATTCCCTAATGCTGGGACTCAGCCGGCAACCCAAGGGAGCACTGTTCATCTGCCACTCAGGCTTGGTGTTAGGACAGGAGAAAGCAGGCCTGTAGGCTGGAGGCAGTCACAGGGCTGTCAATGCAGACAAAGTAATGACCTCTCGAGTCTTCGCTGAGCCACATATGGGGACCACACATCACAGTCTTCACTCCTGCAAGGTCCACAGTCCTGTCCTTCTGGAGCACCTCCTTATCCCTCCTGTTCTAAAAGCCTCTGGCGTGTTTCCATCACAATCTCCTCCATTATTTCTGGCTTTAAGATGTCTTTGATCTAAAAAAGGGAAAAAGGCATTTGTTCAGAAGAGAAACCAACCATAAACAGACCACCAAGCCAATCCAAACATAAATCAAGCCGTTAACATAAACTTTCTGTATTCCTTTCATGTCTCAGAGACTAAGCGTTACAAGATATGATCTGCTAAAGCAGCCTGATACATCAGCAAGATTCTCTGGGATGTAGCCGACAAGAACAATTATTCTGACATCCATCCAAAAGCTGGCTGAAATCTGGGATAGGTAAGATGCAGTCCGAGGTTGCTCTCATAAACTAGTCCCACCTGACACCTCCAGCCCTAAAATCCTTAGACTGACACTACGCATTGAGAATCCTGCAAGTATCTTAGGGAAAGATCTACCAGACACTCATTAGGGCTGTTTCAGGCCAGTTCATACTGATGGATGTCTGGAAAGTATTGGGAGACACGCACATTGTCTCTGCGCAAACAACAGAGCAGCTCACAGATCAATGAAGAAGTGAGAGGTCCTGAGGAGAGTACCTGATGTGGAAGGGATGCTTCATAGCAGTAGAGGATGCTGGTATCATACAGCATCATCCTCTGAGTTACCAGCGAGATGACACAGTTCCGAAGCCGGGATATCACCTCTCGATCAGCAAGAGAGACAGGCTATAAGGAGACACAGAGGAGAAGGGAAGGGAAATATAAACAGGACCAAAATACGTGACCAGCCACAGAAAATCACAAATAAATTACTTATGAATCAGAAAATATCACCCTGGAACTCCAAACCAACCAAACAGCTAACTCCAAGGGAGATTAAAAGGAATGGGGCAGGGCGCAGTGTCTCATGCCTGTAATCCCAGCACTTCGGGAGGCCGAGGCGGGTGGATCACAAGGTCAGAAATTCGAGACCAGCCTGACCAACATGGTAAAACCCCATCTTTACTAAAAATACAAAAATTAGCAGAGCATGGTGGGGCACGCCTGTAATCCCAGCTACTCGGGAGGCTGAGGCAGGAGAATCTCTTATACTCGGGAGGCGGAGCTTGCAGTGAGCCGAGATGGCGCCACTGCACTCCAGCCTGGGCTACAGAGTGAGACTCTGTCTCAAAACAAAACAAACAAACAAACAAACAGAAAAAAGAATGGCTTCTTCAGTGGCTCTTCGGCGTTACCCTGCAACTTTGCCATCGCCACCAACAAACATCGAACCATTCACTGAGTTCATCTCCTTAGAAGAGAGAAGATAATATGGGGTTCATGAATACACCTTGATGGAAAGTCAAAGTGACTCAGCCTACAGCAGTAATAGAGCTAAAAACCACCAATTTCACTGGCCACAAAAACACAGCAAAGACTGAGTCCCATCCTTCCCACCGACAGTGGCCACAGTGTTTGCTCACCTCCAGGTTTGCAATGAAGCCCCCTGCTTCCTCTTCTTTGTGCTCAGGTGTTGGGTAAATCCAGATGAAGCCGTTGTTACCGAGAATCACTGAGGCACCACATGGCAAATCATGGAAGTGGGTCTTCTGCCGTTTCACCAGGGAGGGGGAAACCTGGACCAAAACCCCCTGACCTAGCTAAAGAAATACATCACAAAGCTAGGTCACTACAGGATCATCAGTGGGATGAATGAAAAGGAGACTACAGAATACACATCCTAAGTATATTCAAATTGGTGTCCTTCCTGTTTACAATTGCTGTCGCCTATACACACACCCATAGTACACATTTTTGCAGAGAACACTTGGGGACTCAGAGGCTATTCATACATCCCAGCAGAAGGTGACTTTCAATGCTCTTCTCTGTCATTTCCCTTTACAGTCTCCCTTGCACTCTAAGCCAGAACTCAGGTGCCAGACATTAGAGAAGTTGAAGCCAATGAGGGAGCTGAAGCCTCCTGCTGGTCCAGTAGCACTGTGTTGTTCCAGGACCCTAGCTCATACCTGAACCCCAAACACTCATCTTGCCTGTGAGATGTGTGCCTCTGGGTAGGTAAGGAGCTGGGTGGAGCTGGGTGCAAATCCATGTCTGGTCCTGGCAGGCCAGCTCAAGTGCATGTCCTGCCAAGGGCGAGTCCACAGGACCCAGGGTTGCGAAAGTCAGCATACTGCAGCAGTCCTCTGCCTACTCCATGTACTTGAACGTGGCTGGCTGCAGCCACTCCATTAAGGGAAGAGGTTTTGTTCCACTCAGAAAATAAAAGTGTTCACCCAGATAAAGCTGAGAGACTAGTAAATCCTAATTTGTTTTAGGAAGTATGCTCTCCTTAAAATAATAAATAGCTTCAATAATGCAACCTCGTACAAGAAAAGCAGTGAAATTCCATTTAGAGGCTCAGATGACAGAGCAAGCTTTGCCAGCAATAACATCCACTGGACTGACTGGACGCTTGTCCAAGGGTTGTTTCTCCAGGCCCAGCCTCCCTTTGTTCCCAGGACCGCCTCAGCCCCGGCCCCAGTGCTGAGCTGCAGCGCCCCCTGGAGGGAGAGAGACAGCTGCACCTCCCAGCCCACAGTTGGACGGGCTCCTCTGTCCAAAGAGTCAGTCTCCCTGGAGAAAAAGGATAAAACTTGTTCTTTACAAAGCTACTGACCCATGACCCTGTGAACCCTGACCTGTGAACCCTCATGTCATGTTTAAGGAACACGATCAGTTTGTGGGATGCCAACCTCTATTAATGCTTAGCTACTGGGGTTCTTTAGGCCAGAATTCCAGAGAGCTATAGGGATTAAGAAATAGCCTTGCAATCTCAGTCAGCAAACAGGAACATCAAGAGCCCAACTTACTTTTCCATATTTCAGGCTCCTCGTGTGCAGAGAGACAGCTCCATCAGAGAACACTGCCTGGACCTCAGCCTGGCCAGGGTGATGAAGGAACAAACAGTAGCCTCGGCCACACACTGTCCTGTCCTCTGCAGCCTCTGCCCCTTGACCCCACACCTCCATCTTTTCCTCCCCTCTCCAATGGTCCAGGCTCAACAATCTTAGACAGACCCAGAGGACATCACTGGGACCTCACTTCTCCCCTTGGTTGTCATGAATATCTTTTTTAAAAAAATAGAGACAGAAGTCCAGGCGCGGTGGCTCATGCCTGTAATCCCAGCACTTTGGGAGGCTGAGGCGGGTGGATCACCTGAGGTCGGGAGTTCTAGACCAGCCTGACCAACATGGAGAAACCCCGTCTCTACTAAAAATACAAAATTAGCTGGGCGTAGTGGCAGGTGCCTGTAATCCCAGCTACTCAGGAGGCCGAGGCAGGAGAATTGCTCGAACCCAGGAGGCAGAGGTTGTGGTGAGCCAAGATCGCACCATTGCACTCCAGCCTGGGCAACAAGAGCGAAACTCCATCTCAAAAAAATAAATTAAATTAAATTAAATTAAATTAAATTAAAGGCCAGGCATGGTGGCTCATGCCTATAATCCCAGCACTTTGGGAGGTCAAGGTGGGCAGATCACCTGAGGTCAGGAGTTCAAGACCAGCCTGGCCAATATGGTGAAACCCCGTCCCTACTAAAAATACAAAAATTACCAGGGCATGGCACACACCTGTAATCCCAGCTACTCGGGAGGCTAAAGCAGAATTGCTTGAATCCGGGAGGCGGAGGTTGCAGTGAGCTGAGATCACGCCACTGCACTCCAGTCTGGACAACAGAGCAAGACTCCGTCTTAAAAAAAAAAATTTTTTTTAAATAACATAAAATAGAGACAGAGTCATGCACTGTCACCCAGGCTGGAATGCAGTGGTGTGATCAGAGCTCACTGTAGCCTTGAGCTCCTGGGCTCAAGCAACCCTCCAGCCCCAGCCTCCTGAGTAGCTAGGCATGTGCCGCCATGCCCGGCTAATTTTTTATTTTTATTTTTTTGTAGAGAGGGGGTCTTGCTATGTTGCCCAGGCTGGTCTTGAACTCTTAGGCTCAAGCAATCCTCCCTCCTTGGCCTTCCAAAGCGCTGGGATTACAGGCATGAGCCACCACACTCGGCCTGTCATTAATATCTTGATGTGAACAACACCTCTTCCACTCCCTGGGCTAAAAGTTAACATCATTAACAAAAGCCTAAAGCACAGGCTACCGTAAGTTACAAGACCCAAAGAAATGACTTAGCAGCAGGTCTGAACAAGAGCTGGGGAGTCAGCCTGAGTTAAGGAGACCGAGAAAGGACACAGCAGAGCCCGACACCTGGTCTAACGGTTCTTCCGTCAGAGACATACAATGGAAGGCCCATTTCCCAGCCCCACAGAAAAGCATGAAGAGGCTGCAGTGCAAAGCACAGGATACACTGATGAGGTCCCCTTCCTGTAAGAAACCTCTCATTGCAAGCTCATCTTCTGCAGATCTTCTCCTCTGAAATACACAAAGAAATGACAATACTGAAGCCAGGTCCTCAGAAAGGTCTCCATCACTTCTTTCTCTTTCACTTCCTTTTGAGATTTTTGAGGCCAACCACAATACTCAAACACTGAGAACTATGGCAAAAGTAGGTAACCCGAGCCACTTGAGGGGAATGAGTGATAATCATGACTTTCCATCGCAAGAGACTTTTCCATAGTCCTCTTCTCTTCTTCTTTCCCTCCCTTCCCTGAGGAGCATTCCAACCCCTCCCAATCTCACCCAGCCAACATTTCCACACTCATCTTCCATGACAGCTCTCTGTGGTCCAGCAGGACCAGACTAACTCCTGCTTGGATATATCTCTGCTCACACATTTCCCTTTATCTCAGATTCCCTGAACTAGTTATTTAAAGTCTCTCCATCCTGTCTTTCCTACGAGCTTCTCTCACTGGAATGAACCACTCCTTTTGTATAACCACAGCTTATTTATTCTTCTACTGCCAGATACTGGGTCAGTTATCTTATATCCCCTGCTGGGGAACTCAGTCGTGCTTGGCACTTGGCACAGAGCTTGGCACAGTAAGCCTCTCTGTAAATACATGCTGGACTGAAGATAAAGGTGAACCATGGTATTTTACAAAAGGCTGTGGCTTAGTTACTGTGGTTGTCTGGAATAACCAAATGCCTTTCAATTCACAAAAAACTAACGTAAAGACAGCTTTCCAAGGAACATCTTCACTGTGCAAAGCTGATACGTCCAGAAAAGGAAAGCTATTAACAAGCAGCATCTAAGAGCTTTTCTCCCCAACTCTCTGTTGGGATCCCACCCCATGGATGTTTCTGATCCTACCGTATGCCAACTGCTCCCTCTTTCGGGAGACCTGGACAGGGTGAAAAGTCTACATACACATCCAGACAGCAAACTTCACAGCAGACAAACGGGAGTCAAAGGGGTAACCTCAGTGTAAAGCAAAGTCCTCTGGTGGAACAAAGGGTCCCACAGCTCCCCCCAGCCCACTGGGCTCCAGTCCATGGCCCCAGCTGTAGCCCTTACCAGCTCTCCTCCAGGAAGGTTCATGGACGAGAGCAGCAAGACCGAATCCAGCCTGGAGTTGGTCTCCACCTTCCACCTCTTCTGTTGAACCTATAAGCCAAGTTCCACACCTGGACACATGCTCCAGGGACAGGAGTTCACATCATAAGTAACCAGTAAGGCTGGGTGCGGTGGTTCACGCCTGTAATCCCAGTACTTTGGGAGGCCGAGGTGGTGGCTCACTTAAGGTCAGGAGTTTGAGACCAGCCTGACCAATATGATGAAACCCCGTCTCTACTAAAAATACAAAAATTAGCCGGGCGTGGTAGCAGGTGCCTATAATCCCAGCTACTTAGGAGGCTGAGACAGGAGAATCGTTTGAACCCTGGAGGCGGAGGTTGTAACGAGCCAAGATCGCGCCACTGCACTCCAGCCTGGGCAACAGAGCGAGACTCCATCTCAAAAAAAGAAAAAGAAAGTAACCAGTAATCCCAAATCGAACAAGCCACATATTTACATCAGAGGCCACACAATAGCCAAATGCAACGAATGCCTTTTTCATGTAACTACAAGTGGAATGACTGTCCCATGAATACAATCGCCAGCCTGCCTCGACTTTGTAAACACCAATCTGATATCGACGTTACCTCTGTGATTCTTCCCACTACAATGTCTCCTACTTCACCAATGTATCTGAAAGATAAAACACAAGGGATTCGTGCATCTGTGAGCAGACTTTCTGACAAGACCACACACCATTTGAGATGTTGGTTTAACAGAGTGAAAGCCTTGAATAGGCGTCACATTCAGCAAATTCATGTAACTATATTGTCTGGACTTATTTTCAGAAATTGCTAACTTCAAACATTCCTCCATGTATAAAGTCTCCATTAACCTCAAACAAATCGCTATTCAAGTAGTTCATTTAGCCAAAAAAAACCCCTATTTTGTTCAATTACATGACACTGAAAAACATGGACTATTTTCCTGTGGCACACGGATGAGTTCTGCACCAGCCAAAGGAAGAGAAAGGAAATCTGAGCCAGACGCCAACCGCATGAGTCTGCTCATGTCTCCCCCACTCACTCACTGCCTGCTCCTCTCAAGCCCCTTTGCTAGCTCCTCATCCACAATTCTAATGAGACGTACTCGGTGCTGAGGCCAAGTCCTTAGACCTCTTCGCTTTTCGGCCACTCAATCTAATACCATTAAAATACCACTCTGTGCTGTCACTGTGCCACTTTCCTGAATTCCAAATCCTTCTCAACTGCCAGCTACCCAACTCTGCCATTTAGATGACTAATAGGCATTTTCAAATGTATCACGCCCAAAACTAAGCTTTCCCACAGCCCCCTCCAGTCCTCCGTAGCAAACCGAGGTAGGAGATGAGTTATCCCCATCTCAGTCAATGGTGACTCCATCCCCAGTTGCTCAGGCCAATAAACCTTGGAGAGTTCTTTGATTCCTCTCTCTCTCTCACACACTTCAGGACAAGTCCAGTAGCAAATCCTGCTGGCTCTACCCTTAAAACATATGCAGGAAATAAAAGGCATCCAAATTGGAAAGGAAGAAGTAAAATTATTTCTATTCACAGTTGACTGGGTCCTATGTACAGTAAAGTCCAAAGAATACAAAACCCAACACCTTTTCATGATTTCAAAAAAAACACTCAGAAAATAAAATCTATGTGGATCCCAATCACTCCTCCACCTTCCACTGCTACCACCTTAGTCGAAGCCACCATCACTTCAGATTATGAGTATGGTCCCTAATCCACCTCCCTAAGCTTGCTCTATCCCCCTTCAATCTCCCATCGGCAGCCACAGTGAGCTTAAGTCCAGATCAAGTCCCTCCTCTGCTCCACCCCTTCCAGGGGCTTCCCAGATTACACAAAGTAGAAGCTGAAATGCTTACTCTGGCTACAAGGCAGGCCCATGTCTGCCCACCTCAGCTTTCTGCTCATATCTGCCCCTACTCTCTCCCTCACTCACTCTGTTCTAACCTCACTGGCTTGCTTTCTGGGGCTAATCTTCATTGAATGCTTCTAGGTATCAGGCCCTGTGCTAAATACTTTACATGCACCATCTCACTGAATTCTAAAGAAAATCCTAGGCCAGCCGCAGTGGCTCACATCTGTAATCCCAGCACTTTGGGAGGCCAAGTGGGGGGGAAATCTTCTGAAGTCAGCAGTTCGAGACCCGCCTGGCCAACATGGTAAAACCCTGTCTCTACTAAAAGTATAAAAAAAATTAGCCAGGCGTGGTGGCGAGTGCCTGTAATCCCAGCTACTTGGGAGGCTGAGGCAGGAGAATCGTTTGAACCCGGGAGGCAGAGGTTGCAGCGAGCAGACTGTGCCACTGTACTCCAGCCTGGGCAACAGAGCGAGACTCCGTCTCAAAAAAAAAAAAGAAAATCCTGTGAAGTAGGCCATGCTATTATACTCACTTTGCAGAGGAGGTAACCAAGGCTTGGAGTGGTGACATAACATGGGAAAACCTCTGAAGCCTACACTGATCTGCACCACCCCACCTACAGTCATGGTCAAAACCTCAGACTTACAGCATGACAGGGCAGGCAGGGGTGGGGTAGGGGATATGGAGGGGGCAGAAAAAGCCTGGTTGTACAACCTGGATGCCGCAAGAAAGGGAATACACACCTTTTGTTCTCACCTGGTTTTCAAAGCTTTCACACAGATCAACTTGTTTACTCTCTCCACAGAGCCAGCAACAGATGCAATGAGCTTCTCTTCTCCCATATACGTTCCGTGGCCCCTGATGCAAGGCAAAGGTACAAAGAAAGGATACCAGGGTAACTCGAGGTGACCTCTCTCCTTTCAAGAACAATGTGTTCCTCAAAGCTAACAAGCTCCCCCTGCAAAGCCTGGCTTCTGTGCTGGCTGCTTCCTCTGCCTTCAGTGCTCCTTCTCCAGACTGGCTACTTGGAAATCACTCCTCTCACTCAGGTCTGCTCAGGTGTCACTTTCTCCAGCAGGCCTACCTTGACTGTGCCATTGAAAACACAGCCCACCCCGTTGCCACCACTCCCCCACATTCCATTGACCCTGCTCCACGTTTTTCCCCATTGCATTATTGCCTAACATTCTCCGTTATAACTCCACCAGGACAGAGATTTTTCACTCTGCCGTTATATCCCAACTGCACAAAATATAAATATATGTTGAAAGCATTAACGAAAGAATGAATCTTAAGATTTCCTGGCCAGGTGCGGTGGTTCACGCCTATAATCCCAGCACTCTGGGAGGCCGAGGTGGGTGGATCACGAGGTCAAGTGTTTGAGACCAGCCTGACCAACATGGTGAAACCCCGTCTCTACTAAAAATACAAAAATTAGCCGGGCATAGTGGCGTGCGCCTGGAATCCCAGCTACTTAGGAGGGTGAGGCAGGAGAATTGCTTGAATCCCAGAGGCGGAGGTTGCAGTGAGCTGAGACTGTGCCACGGCACTCCAGCCTGGGCGACAGAGTGAGACTCTGTCTCATTAAAAAAAAAAAAAAAAAAATTTCCTAGGGGCTGGGCATGCCTGTACTCCCAGCACTTTGGGAGGCCAAGGTGGGCAGATCACACTTGAGGTCAAGGGTTCGAGATCAGCCTGGCCAACATCGTGAAACCTCATCTCTACTAAAAATACAAAAATTGGCTGGGCATGGTGGCAGGTGCCTGTAATCCCAGCTACTCAGGAGGCTGAGGCAGGAGAATTGCTTGAACCCAGGAGGCAGAGGTTGCAGTGAGCCGAGATCCCACCACTGCTCTCCAGCCTAGGCGACAGAGAGACTCCATCTCAAAAATGAAAAAAAAATATTTCCTAGGATCCACTAGCCTTAAACTAACAGGTTAAAGGGCAATGCTATGAATGCTGTGCCCCTTGTATAGATACATGTACAGAAAAAAAAGGTTGAAACGCTAGTGTTATCTATGATGATGATATAATGGCTGGTTTTACTTCTTTTCTTACATAATTATCTCATTTAATCCTCATTACCGTATCATACTGTTATTATCACTATCTTACAGATGAGGAAACTGACTGTGGAGAGGCAATGCCGCTAATAAGATGTGATGGTAGCTGGACTGGAACCCCAACTGTCTGACTCAAGAGCCTGCCCTCAGCCGGGCGCGGTGGCTCACGCCTGTAATCCCAGCACTTTGGGAGGCTGAGGAGGGTGGATCACCTGAGGTCGGGAGTTCAAGACCAGCCTGACCAACATGGAGAAACCCCGTCTCTATTAAAAATACAAAAATTAGCCAGGCATGGTGGCACATGCCTGTAATCCCAGCTACTCGAGAGGCTGAGGCAGGAGAATCGCTTGAACCTGGGAGGCGGAGGTTGCAGTGAGCTGAGATCGCGCCATTGCACTCCAGCCTGGGCAAAAAGAGTGAAACTCTGTCTCAAAAAAAAAAAAAAAAAAAAGAGCCTGCCCTCTTAACTACAACACACTGTACTGTACCCCTTGGATTCAAAATGTGTATAAATGGGTGCAGGCAGCACAATGTAACTGTTTGCCCTAAGCTCGAACAATTACGGATTCTAAACTGAAGAGGAGGCGGCCAAGAACACCCACCGTCCCCTCAGAGAGCTGAAAACTGGAAAGAGAGGCTGCGCCTAAACCTCCCCGGTTTTCCAGGTCTCCTACAAGGAAGGCTCAAAGATTTGGACTTCAGGCAGAAGACCCAAAAGTCACAGCCACCAGAGGTCAGGAGTGGAGGGTTTCAGGGAGCTGAGACAAACGCAGAAGGGGACACACAAGACGCAGGGGGCAAGAAGCACGAGGCTCGGAAGCGAGGCGAGTAGGATGCTCAGACCAAGTGCCTGGGGTCCCGCGGGGAGTTAGACACACCGGGATACGAGGCCTGGACCACGTGCAGAGAGCCCTGAAGCCGCTCTATGGAAGCCTCGACTCCCCCAAGTCCCCACGTACCGCATGAATCCCGTGTCCGTAGTGATTGTGTCCCCCGGCACCACTAGATGTTTCTTAGTGTCGCGACCCAGTCTCTCGCTAAGAGGCTTGCGAGCCGCTGGAAGCCTCATCTCCATCGCCATCTTGGCGCCAATGAGTTGCGCAGGCGCAGCTCAGCCGGGAGCCGCGATATCCGACTCCGCAACTCCTGGCCGCGTTCGGAGGGGCGGGGAAGGGCGGGGACTCAGAGCAGCTGCCAATGAGAACTCACGGCCTGGAGGCCATGTTTACAATTGGCAACACTAAGGCGAACCCGAAGGGAAGGGAGCCGAGCTGCCATGTTTACTATTGGCAAGGGAGCACCCGTGGAATAATACAATCTCATGTTGTGTGGGGTGTGACTTTTTACCAAAACTGTCTTGTACTCACCATCCCATTTATTGTTTACAAGGGTTAGCGATAATTGAGAAACGGACCTCTGAGTTTCTGTCCGATTCTAAGCTGCTGAAATCCGGTATTTTCTAAGAGAGAGCTCAGGAGGATGGAGAGATGGGATCTACAGAAAACACTATTTGAACAGAGAGAAGAGCCCCTGTCCACACGGTTCCTAGTAGCCCCAGTATTCTACATTGCTGCCGCCCCGTGGGTGCTTGCTCAGCATCATCATCTATACCTCCAAACCGGGCTCCAGATACTTCTCACTTGGTTCTGTTCTTTCATAAAGACTTCTTTAAGCAAGCTAATTTACTCCAATATTTCTTTTGGAAACAAGTTAAAAATCGTCTAACAGTATAGGTCAAACCTTGCAAGCCAGGTATATTTGGTAGGGAAGGGAAGTGCACACATAATACGAAGATGGCTTGCATTTAGTTACACAGCGAGTTGAGTGCTCTGTGTGTGCCAGGCGCTGTTCTAAGGATTCAGCAGGGAACAGACATGTCTCTGTGGGTTTTGCTGCGGCTCCGTTTTAATAGGAGCGTACCCCCTCGCCCCTTCTCCCGTTCCCCACTACCGTCTCCCTCTCCTTGCCCTACATTCACAACAAACTAATTGGGAATGGTAATTCCCCATGCACAGGGACTCTAAAGAGGATTAAATGAAATCATTTACATCAACTGTGGTCAGAAAAGCAGGTAAACCAAGTCTGCCTCCTGAAGAAAGATCCATCGAACCAATTGTTTTATAAATCTCCAAAGCGACAGCATTTCTTCCACTTAAGCAAGGCGCACGACCACACTTGAGAAAGTCAGCCCTGCCAGGCAGTCCGTGACGTGAATGCTAGTGCCCCAAGGCCCTAGGTAAGTGGGCGGCCAGACCCTCGCCCTCCGCCGTGCTTGGAGGAAGGCGCTAGAGCCCAGCCCCTTGGTCCAGTACTGCCGCGGCCATAAGAGGGCGATGGTGTCCTTTGAGCCCGCGTAGCCCGGCGGCCAGGAAGCCAGGCCCAGCGAGCGGCCCTAGGCGGAGCGAGAGTGTAGTCCTGACACCATCCAAGTTCTTCCCGGGAGGGAGAGACGCGCACTCTCACAGCGTTCACATTCACGGAGCCTGTCGCAAGGTTGGCATTGTGGATACCAGTTTATGGAGGAGGAAATCGAGGCCCCAAAAGGAATGGAATTCACATTAGCAGATGGCAGCAAAGCCGATGCGTGTTCCAGCTGCACGCGATTTACCCCAGAGCCTGCACCCCTTACCAAACATAACCCGAGTGCTTCGGCTAGTCCTTTGCTGAGTGCATTACAGATACTATGTTATGTATTCCTCACTTTCAGCCCATCTTTGAGGTAGGCATTGCTATCCCTGATGATCACTTGGGGGCACCGAGCCCCCCAAACAGACCTGTAGCTGGGACTAGAATCCAAAACGGCAGACTCCCCCTCCCCCATCCTCTTTCTGCATCATCACACGCACCCTTATTTATTTATTTATTTGTTTATTTATTTATTTATTTTGAGACAGGGTCTTTGTCACCCAGGCTGGAGTACAATGACACGATTATGGCTTACTGCAGCCTTGACCTCCTGGGCTCAGGTAATCCTACCACCTCAGCCTCTTGAATAGTTTGGACTACAGGCACATGCCACCAGGCTCGGCTAATTTTTTTGTACTTGTTTTGTGAAGACAAGGTTTCACCGTGTTGCCCAACCTGATCTTGAACTCCTGAACTCAAGTGATCCGCCCATCTTGGCCTCCCAAAGTGCTGGGATTACAGGCATGAGCCACCGAGCCTGGCCACACTTACCCCTTTACCACCAGTAGACAAGTGGGTACCCGGAGACAGAGCAGCACATCCCAGGGGGCTTTGTAAAAAGTATAGATTCCTTAGGCATTGAGGCTGTAAACCCCGAATATCTGAGACAGGTCTCAGTTAATTTAGAAAGTTTATTTCGCCAAGATTGAGGATGTGTGCCTGTGGCACAAGCTCAGGAGGTCCTAACAACACGTGCCCAAGGTGGTTGGAGCGCAGTTTGGTTTCATACATTTTGGGGAGACATGAAGCATCAATCAACATATGTGAGATGAACATTGATTCAGCCCGGAAAAGCGGGACAACTCTAAGCTGGGAAGGGGCTTCCAGGTCATGGGTAGATAAGAAACAAACGGTTGATTTTTTTTTTTTTTTTTTTTTTTGAGTTTCTGATTAGCGTCTCCAAAGGAGGCAATCAGGTATGCATTTATCTCAGTGAGCAGATGGGTGACTTTGAATAGAACAGGAGGCAGGTTTGCCCTAAGCAGTTCCCAGCTTGACTTACTTTTCCCTTTAGCTTAGTGATTTTGTGGCCCCAAGATTTATTTTCCTTTCATGAGGTTCTGCAAAGGTAAGGTCCAGAAGTCTGTGCATGTTTTAACTCCCTATGTAATTTCAGTGGCAGAAAAGGTCTAAGATTCACTGATGCCACCACATTTGTGCATCTCTGCAGCCACTGCCCCAGGCTGATCAACGGCATCTCTTACCAGGGAGATAACCTCCTAGCTTGTCTTCCTAATTCTACTTTTGTCCTTCCTTCATCCAATCTCCAAACAGCAGCCAGAGGGAGCTTTAAAAACAGATTAAATCACTTCCCTGCTTCCAACACTTCTAGACTCCTGCCTGTCTCTGACCTCACGCTCGACCTAACCCACTGCCTTACTCAGTATGCTGCAGCCAGACTGTTACCGGTGGAGGGTGCCCAGGTTCTTGGCGTCTTGGACAAAACACACAGACAAAGCAAGGAAAGAATAAAGCAACAAAAGCAGAGATTTATTGAAAACGAAAGTACACTCCACAGGGCGATGAACGACCCAAGCAAAGAAACTCAAGAGGCTCTTTACAGAAGTTTCTAGGGTTTAAATACCTTCCAAAGGTTTCCCATTGGTTATTTGGTGTACACCCTGTGTAAATGAAGGAGCCGCCCGTGATCAGTCTGATTGGTTGTGGAAAGTGACCAATGAGAGGCTGAAGTTACAAGTTATGCCTTATGCAAATGTCTGATTGGTTGTGGAAAGTGATCAATCAGAGGCTGAAGTGAAGTTACAAAGTTATACTCCTATGCAAATGAAGACTTGGCCCCCCGGAGCAGCCTGACTGGTTGTGGGAAGAAGGGACCAATTAGAGGTACTTTCAGTTTTTCATGTGCCACACAGAAAAGCCGAGATTGCAAACGGAGTAGCCTCTGGTCCTTTTGTTACTTTGACATGGAAAGTTGGGGTTTTCCTTTTGATTTACTTCTAGAAAGTCAGTGTGAATCAGCCTTATGTTCCCTGCCTCCAGACCCTATTCTCCTGCCTCAAGACTAGCTGGCTTCCCCTCGGGGCCACAGCACCAAGCTCCTCATCACTCCAGGGCCCTTTACTCTGGTCTCTTTCTGCATAAATTCTCTTCGCCCAGGCTTTTGTGTGGCTGGCTCCTTCTCCTCACTCACGTCTTGCTCAAACATCACTTCCTCAGAGAAGACTCCGCTGATCATCTTATCTGGAATAACTCTCCAGTCCTTTTTTTTATCCCTTGATCCTGTTTTACTTCTTGTCACTGATATTTCTTTTTTTCTTTTTCTTTTTTTTGAGATGGAGTCCCGCTCTTGTTGCCCAAGCTGGAGTGCAATGGCACGATCTCGGCTCACTGCAACCTCTGCCTCCCGGATTGAAGCGATTATCCCGCCTCAGCCTCCTGAGTAGCTGGGATTACAGGCGCCCATCACCACGCCCGGTTAATTTTTGCATTTTTCAGAGAGACGGGGTTTCACCATGATGGCCAGGCTTGTTTCGAACTCCTGACCTCAAGTGATCTGCCTGCCTTGGCCTCCCAAAGTGCTGGAATTACAGGTGTGAGCCACCGTGCCTGGGCTCGAATTTTCTTTTCTTTTTCTTTTCTTTTTTTCTTTTTTTTTTTGTTCATTTATTGCGGTCTCCCTCCACTAGAACATGCATGTGCTGAAAACGGACTTGATCTGTTCTGTTCATCATATATCAATGCTTAGAACCAGGCCTGGCACACAGGGCAGCCATAAAATATTTGTTGAAAAAATACAATATACTTTCAAACTACAGGTTTGTTTGTCTGCTCGTCGCCTGTTTTCCCACCGGATATGAACCCCACAAATACCCAGACTGTACATTTTGTTCACTGCCTGTTTCCTATGTATGCTTGATATATAGTCGGCCCTTGTATTAAGCATGTCTTTGCTTTTTTTTTTTTAAGATGGAGTCTCACTCTGTTGCCCAGGCTGGAATGCAATGGTACAGTCTCTGCTCACTGCAACCTCTGCCTCCCAGGTTCAAGTGATTCTTCTGCCTCAGCCTCCCGAGTAGCTGGGATTACAGGTGCGCACCACCACGCCTGGCTAATTTTTGTCTTTTTAGTAGAGACAGGGTTTCACCATGTTGGCCAGGCTGGTCTCGAACTCCTGACCTCGTGATCTGCCCGCCTTAGGCTCCCAGAGTGCTAGGATTACAGGCGTGAGCCACCACGCCCAGCGCCTTTGCTTTTCTGTACTCGGATGCTTTGAGATCTTGGGGCCTTGCTCTTCCCAGATGGACTGCCCCACCTAGGGTTAACCAGTTCCTGGAGATAGTGAACAACTCACCCAGGAGGTCCCTTGCAAACGCACACCACCCAATCCAGAGCCCACACCCACAAACACCTCCTTTATTAGGCTCTCTTACTCAGGACCAGTATCCAACTGCCCTGATCATCCCAAGGCCAGACACCAGACAACTAGGGAAAGTCCTTATACCCCAGCACCTGCTGCAGTTGTCAAACCAACCAATCCTAAGCCTGCTTACCTTGCCTCACCCATTCCTTCCCATGGAAACCACAATAAAGGGTCTTGCTCATGTTTTCCCCACCTTCCCTCTGCCTCCTGACCAACCCGGTGCTTTCCTGTGCAGCTCTGCACGGCGCACCCTGCCTCTTGTTTCTAGAACAAAGATCTTTCTCCATGACAGTCATTTCCATGTTGGCATACCATGTCAGATTTCAGGACCCTTAAAACAGCTCTCTGCCAGGTGCAGTGGCTCACATCTGTAATCCCAGCACTGTAGGAGGCCGAGGCGGGTGGATCACATGAGGTCAGGAGTTCAAGACAAGCCTGGTCAACATGGTGAAACCCCATCTCTACTAAAAATACAAAAAATTAGCCAGGCGTGCTGGTGGGCGCCTGTAATCCCAGCTACTCAGGAGGCCGAGGCAGGAGAATTGCCTGAACCCGGAGGTGGAGGTTGCAGTGAGCCATTGAACTCCAGCCTGTGCCACAAGAGCGAAACTGCGTCTCAAAAATAAAAATAAAAATAATGCCTCAAGCCCAGGGCTGGCCCACAGAAACTGCCATGGCTGTGTTTGCATGTCTTTGATTAGGGGGACTGAAATCTCAGGAAAGGGGCCTCAGGCCTCTGCTGCAAATGCAAGCAAAGTAAGAGGTTAGGCTTTTCAGCATCATGCCTCCCTCCAGCGTGCAAGCCACAAGTCACATCCTTTCACCCTGGTATCCCAGGCCTTGGCACCCGGGGCAGCACACTTCTGTGGGAACAGATCTGTGGGCAAAGCAGAGGCACCTTGGTCTGCAGTTACAGCCAGCTACCACCAGGTGGGTTCTGGAGCCTGGGATGGGGATCCTGGGATCTGTTAGCTGAGACGTCACAGGACAGAATGACCTATGGAAAACAATTTAGATTTCTGTTCAAGGGCCTCACTGACTCCTCCGAGTATCTGACTCTGGAAGTCCCTACTTCAGGAAGCCAGAGTTATTTCCTGGGAGTCTCAACATGTGAGCAGGACAAGCCACCTGCCACTTCACCCCTTGGCATCCCTCGGGGGACTCAGGACAGATAGACTTTGGTCGAGGGAACAAGAGGCCTGGGTGGGGGCTGCATGGGAGAGGGGAATGCAGGGGCCACCGGAGGCAATGGGAGCCTAATGGTGGAGTGTCAAAGGAGAAGCGAGGTTCCAGTGGGAGGAGAACCAAGGGTGACTTCCCCCACTGGCCTGAGGGAGTGAACCCCAGATGGGGCCTGCAAGTGAACTCATGAGGTGTCCAACCCTGCCTGTGCCCCAATTTCCACGGTGCAGGACAAATCCCTCAAAGTATGGGGGTCTTTGGGAGTACATCCCTGAAGTTCCAAATGGGGCTCGTCTGTGTGTCCAAGTGTGAATTCCCAAGTGTCTGCAGGTGTGCATGTGTGCACATGTGTGTGGGATGAAGATGCAGAGTTGTACCTGTGGGATGCCAGGAAGCCACACATGCAGCGGGTTGGAAGATGACACCCTCATAGCTGGTGTATGCTGGAGCACAGGTGTGAACTCACACTCCCCTGCACACACCTCCTTCCTGGAGAGGAGAGGGGAGCCTGGCCCTATAGGAACCATGAAACCCTCTGGCTTTAACTAGAGGCCTTCCTGCTTCCTGGTCTTCTTCAAGAGGGTCTGGAAATGGGTGCCCAGAACATTTGGAGAGTCTAGGCATTGGGAGGGCACTTGGTGGCCATCTTGGCCCATTCCCACTGGCTGCTTGAACATCTTCAGCTTGACCATTAAAATGAAAAAAAAAAAAAAAAAAAGTAAATATTTGGGAGAAGTTACAAAGTAAGGCACTGATGTTTGAGCCAGCTGGAAACCACGAGAATCTGCCCAGCCCCTTTCAAGATTTCCAACTGCTTTGCACTGTAACCCATCTCACTGGGATCTGACACCCCACTTGCGACAAAGAAAATTTTCCTGTACACACCAGCAAGTGGAACAACTCTTACCCGTCCCTTTCCAGCTTCTAGAAACTTTCTATATTTCCTTCATACAGATAAAAGTGTCCACCCATTCAGATGCTAAATGATAAATGTTCCAAGTAATTTTTATTTTAGAATACAAGAGAGGTACAAATGTATTTACAGTTGTACATATACAATCAAATAATAATATATCACAGTTTTGTAAATATCATTTTAGATAAATATTTACAAGGTTAAAGTGACCATTTTCTGGAAGTAGAACACAGTGTCTTGAAAACTCTATACATTTTATACTTTTCATTAATATTATAGTTTCTTTATTTTACAAAACGCCCCACGGGAATCCTGGTAAATGACTGCAAAGTGTGAGAGGCGACACCAGAGGGCGCGCACGGCCAGAGTTTGAGGAAACGGGCAGGGACCGAGGGAAGTGTGGGCAGACGGGGCGGAACTCCCGGGACTGGGCACAGTTCGGAAGTGCCTCCTGGCCACAGAAGCCACCTTAACCTCCCGGGCAGCAGTTCCAGTCTTGCCCTCCTCTCGCTGGGGTGTGTGTGTTGGAAGGGGTTGGGGGGAACTTTCGCCTTCCAAGGCATGATGTCACAGCTGAAGGGGAGGGGGCATTGGTCCAACTCCCGCATTTTACAGATGGGGAAACTGAGGCCCAGAGAGGTGCAGGGTCTTGCCTGGGGTCCTACAGAGGATTTCCGTTGTGCCTCCACTTTCAACGTGCCTGGTGCACTGCAAAGAGCTCCTTCCTCATCCATCCCCAGGAGCCAGGTTTGGGGGTAAGGGCCCAGAAGATGCAGGTCTCTCCGGGTCTCTTCCGGCTGCCGATGGACCCCGGTAGCCCGCACCTGTCAAGGTTGCGTAAAGACTCCCGACACTTCAGGACACCAGTCCCAGGGGCCAGAAGAGGAGGTGGCGCCCCCACAAGTCCCGCGCCCGGCCGCACCCGGACAAGGAGGTCGCCCTCCCTTCATTCCGAAGCACAGGACTCTCGGTGGCGGAGGTGGGGACTCCCCTTCCTCTGCTGAGGGGTCCTCAGGGCGCTAAATTTCGCTTTCCCGGGACCCACGAGGGGGATGCCGGTCTGGGCGCCCGGTTCTACAACAGGAGGGAGATTCGGGGGCGAGGCCAGGCAGGGGGACCCCATCCCAGAGGAGGCGGCCGAGTAGCCGCACCATCTGCGTGGCCTGGGTGAGGGACGCCGCCCTCAGTGTCCTCATCTGCGACACGAGCCGAGGCGGGGGTGCCTGGGGTCCGTCTCTGGGGCGCACCCCCAGCGCGCGGGGCTCCGCGGGGGCGCCGGGCCGGGGGTCGGGGCGGGAGGGCGAGTCGCGCTGCGGGGCCTGGTTGCCGAGGGCCCGGGAGCGCGCGGGGCCGGGCGAGGGCGCAGGCGCGCTCACAGCACCATGGCCGGCAGGTGGTGCGCGGCGGCGGCGGCGGCGGCGGCGAGAGCGGGCGCGTGCGCGTGCGGGGCTGGCAGCGCGGGCGAATGTGCCTGCAGCGCGGCGCTGGGCGGCCGGTGGCGCGCGCTCTTCTGGTGGGCGCGCAGGCCGGCCAGCTGCGAGTAGGCACTCTGGCACACCTGGCACTTGTAGGGGCGCTCGCCCGTATGCAGGCGCACATGGTTGCGCAGCGTGGACGACTGGCTGAAGCGGCGGTTGCAGAAGCGACACACGAAGGGCTTGTCCAGCGTGTGGATGCGCATGTGCGAGCGCAAGTTGCTGCGCGAGTTGAAGCCGCGGTGGCAGATGACGCAGCGCATGCGGCCCGCGGGGCCCGCCGCCGAGTCCGCCGGGTGGAAGTCCTCTGGCCGCGGGGCGGGAGAAGGGAGACGAGGAAGGGGAGAGAGCAGCCCCGTTAGAACCGGCGACCCGCGGCCCGGGCCCCCAGCGCCCCCCTCCCGGGGGGGATCCGACCCTGAGGGCGGGTGCTGCTTGGACGGTGGCAGACGGACGGGAGGGACAGCGAAGGGTCCCCCTGCTGGGGGATCCAATAGGAGTTGGACTCACGATCGCGATGCGAGACCTCGGAGACTTAGCGACTCAGCCTAGCTAAACCTCAGCTTTCTCATCTGTAAAATGGAAACCTAGCACTGCCTCTTCGGGTGTACGATTGCCGGGAGAGGATGAGAAAAGACGTCTATGGAAGGTCTCTGCGCTAAGCACCCGACCTGCCTTAGCCAGTGCCTGAGAGATGCCTGGATTGGAGAAGGCCTTCCGTAAAGGGGAGCAACTATGATGACCCCCACCCCCAAACCTTTCATTAACTCATCCCACAAACATTTACTGAGTGCCTACTCTGTACCACGGAACTGCGCCTCGGTTTTCTCCTTCCTGAAATGGAGGTACTACTAGCATCGCCCTCGTAAGCCTGGTAAGGATCAGTGAAAAAAGATTCTTTTTTTTTTTTTGAGACGGAGTCTCCCTCTGTCGCCAGGCTGGAGTGCAGTGGCGCGATCTCCACTCACTGCAGCCTCCGCCTCCTGGGTTCAAATGACTCTCCTGCCTCAGCTTCCCGAGTAGCTGGGACTACAGGTGTGCGCCACCACGCCCAGCTAATTTTTGTATTTTTAGTAGAGACAGAGTTTCACCATGTTGGCCAGGATGGTCTCAACCTCTTGACCTCGTGATCCGCCCACCTCGGCCTCCCAAAGTACTGGGATTACAGGCGTGAGCCACAGCGCCTGGCCCAAAAAGTTTTTTGTGTTTTTTTTGTTTTTTTTTTTTTTGAGACAGGGTCTCACTCTGTCACACAGGCTGGAGTGCAGTGGTGCCATCTCAGCTCACTGCAGCCTCGACCTCCCAGGTTCAAGTGATCCTTCCACCTCAGCCTCCCAGGTAGCTGGGAACACAGGCTCGTGCCAGCACAGCTGGCTAATTTTTAAATTTTTTGTAGACATGGGGTCTTGCTATGTTGCCCAGGCTGGTCTGGAACTCCTGGGCTCAATGATCCTCCTGTCTCTGCCTCCCAAAGTGCTGGGATTACAGGCATGAGCCACTATGCCCGGCCTAGAGAAATTAATGTTTGTAAAACATCAGCTGCAGAGCAAGGACTTAATAAACAGTAGCTCACCAGCTCAGGTTCATCCTCCAAAAATAAGGACCACCGACCACAGTACCTCAGGCCTGTGATATCTGCCAAAGGTTTAGCCTAGTTCTTGGCAAGAAATAGTTGTTGAGCAAGTGGTCTCTGCTGTGATGGCCAGCATCCCCACAACACATACACAGACTTCAACAGGCTTATACGGAGCACCTACTCTGTGCCAGACCCTGCACCAGACATCAGCAACAGGGCAAGGAAATATACGGAAGGGAACTTAGAGATTATCTTGCCTAGGATCTTCCCTTTACAGATGAGGAAACTGAGGCACAGGGCATTTCCAAGATTGCACGGCAGAACTAGAACTCAATCCAGCTCCTTCCTTCTCCTGTCACACCTCATTGCCTCTCTGGTCTCCCCCACATACCCCCCAGACAGTCTATTTTGGCCAGGAAGCCAAATGCCCGGCCCATGTGGCAGCTCCAGGGGCATCAGCCTCCTTGGACCTGTATGTCTTATCTGCTCAATGCTGCCAGACATTGAACTGAGGTTCCCGGAGGTCAGGAACCTCCCTGCCTCTCTCATTCTCTCTCTCCCCTCCCTGGGCTCCCCTCTCCATGGGTCTGTGTCTCAGTGGCCCCATGGAGAACACCTACCATGCTTGTTCTTTTTCTGGTCCTCCTCTAGCCCAGGCACACCAGGGATCCCCAGGAAGGTGTTATGTGAGTTTCCGTACCACACCAGCAGTTCCTGGTCGGGCGGGATCATCTGCAGGGAGGGAGGCAAGAGGAGGTCAGGGAGGCAGCAGCTGGGAGGTGAGAGTTGGGGGTCTCTGAGCACCCCTTCACAGTCAGGAGACCTGGACCCAGTCTCAGCCCTGAGACAGCCACACAGGCCCATTTCCACTGAGCTGTCCCAGCAAGCTGCATAAACACGGAAGACCCTGGGGTGTCAAACCCCTCTGTCCCCCTCTCCCTGCCCAGGCCATCTCTGGCCATGCTCTGGCCACAGGAGAGCTTCCAAGCTGACAGCACCAGAATGGACAGCAAGCGGAAGTAACGGAAGATGGAAAATTAGAAATCTTTTCAATTCTTACGCAGGAGAACTGGAGTCAGCCAGCCCCCGGGGCTGCAGGGCTGAGCCGGATGTTTCCAAGAATTGTGGGCTGTGGGGCACCCTAGGGTACTTGGCTACACCCTGCGGGGATAATGTTCTGGAAACATCTCTTATCCAAAGCTTCCATAGACACCCCACATCACAGGTACTTCCCGACCAAGCACAGGGCTCTGAGTGTCTCCGTGCACATGGCAGATGCTAAAAAAGAAGCATTCGGATGGATGAACACCTCCACCCCAAGAAACGTTGGGGTACACTGTCTTACACAGAGTCCAGTTCACCACGTCCTAGGTCAATGACAGCGAACCCCACAAGTGATTTGGGGGCTCTGCTGCTCTCGGGGAGGACCTGCCTCAGGCTCATGGCAAAGGATGTTGGTCAGAGGATTTTTGCAGTGATGATCCAGGGAGGCGTAAGGGGCCTGCTCCCGGGGTGGCACTGGCCATAAATACCACACGCTCCAGGACAACCCAAGGGGCCTGCCAGACCTCTCATGGAAGCCAGTTACCCCTCCCAAGTGGGGAAGCTCGAGGCCCTAGCCAGGCAGGGCGTATGAGAGAAGGGACAGCCTATCACTGTCCCAAGGCATGGACCCCAGAAGTGCTGGCCTTGGCACCTGCCCCTGGGGGCCACTATCTGATGTGCCCAGAGAAACCCAGACACCCCCCTGGCAACAGCTGGTTTGTTTTCCTGGAGGGTTCTTTATTAGTTGAAGCACAAAAGATCAGTGGGGTTCCATCTAGAGGTGCCTGAAACCAGGCCAGGATCCCGCATTGGCTTCTGTGTCTGTTTGGTTCAGCCTGCAGAGCCCACACTCAGAACTCTGGCGTTCACTACGTCTTCCTTCCTCTGGTCAGAGCCTGGAAGACCCTCAGACCATTGCAACAAGCTCTGCTCACCCTTGAAAAGAAGGGAACATGGAGGTCGGGCGTGGTCGCTCATGCCTGTAATCCTAGCACTTTGGGAGGCCGAAGCAGGTGGATTACTTAAGGCCAGGAGTTTGAGACTAGCCTGGGCAACATAGTAAAACCCTGTCTCTACAAAAAAATAGAAAAATTAGCTAGGCGTGGTGGCGCATGCCTATAGTCCCAGCTACCTGGGAGGCTGAAGCAGAACTGCTTGAACCCAGGAGGCAGAGGTTGCAGTAAGCTGAGATTACACCACTACATGCCAGCCTGGGTGACCACTCCAGCCCGGGTGACAGAGCAAGAGCCTGTCTCAAGAATAAAAAAAAGAAGAAGAAGGGGAGGTCGAAAGAGAAGGGGTGCAAACAGGAGGGTGTGAGGGGGCTTAGGCGACAGCCATCCTCCTGAGACTCAGCCTAGAGTCACCACATCCATTTCCTCATGCCCCCATGGTTCACGGGGCATCATGGCGAGCCTTAGGATCGGTAAGTGATGAGAAGCCAACGTGGAAACACCAAGTGCAGTCCCAGAAGCCACAGAAGGTTAGATGGTGCCTCCCAGAAAGGGGACAGATTACAGTCTGGCACCACAGCAAGAGTCCTGGTGACCTCTCTGCTCATTCATAGTCATGGCCACTGTCCAGGAGGCCAGCAGGTCAGAGGTGGAGGCCCCTGCTGGAAAGGGGTAGAGAAGAAAGAGGTACTGATTTGGGTTTTTTTTTTTTTTCGTTTTTTAACACTTTTAAAAATTCTACTTTTTTTCCAGACCTCACCGGGATAGAAGGAAGAGGTTTTGTGAATCTCCCAGAAAAGTGGATGATGGCATTGAAATATTTAACATAAATTAATTGTGAAGGAAATCTGTCTACGAGATAGTGCAGATGAGCCCTCTGTCACCGGGTCCCTGTGTGACCTTAGGCAAGTCACTTTGCCTTTCTGTGCTCCTCAAATGAGGGGGTCAGGGAACATGGTCCCTGAGTTCCCCCCAACTCTAAGACTCTGGTTGTAAGTCACCTCCAACATTGTCCCAACCCTTGGCTTCCAGTCTTGGATGAAACCAGACACGTTGATGTCATGGTTCTTCCAAAGCAATCAGCACCCTCCCCCAGACGGCTGAAGACGCCCCACAGAGGGTTCCTGCCCAGTCTGGAGTCAGACATATTGGGGTCCACTAGGCTCCCCATCTGCTGAGCAAGTGACCTTGGGCAAGTTGCCTTACCTCATGGGGCCTGTTTCCTCACATTGCCATGGCCTCACTGAGTGGTTTTTGGGGTGCAGCGGAGCCATATGCATAAAGCTCTTTGCATAATCGAGACATGGAAGCACCAGTGATTGTTTTCCTGGAGCCCACCAACCTCTCAGAGAAGCTGGCAGCGGTTTCTGGCACGTCCAGCTCTCCGCAGGAGTGCTCGCTGAGCCAGCAGAGTTGCAGAGGCCGCTGGTTCGGTGGAAGCCCAGGGTGACCAGGGTTCTGCCGTCAGTGTCCAGCAAGAACACAGCCTGGGCCTGAATGCTCCAAGGACACCAGCCCCATGCAGGTACCCCCACTTCCCAGCCCCATCTCCCCTAGAAGAGAAGTCAACTCCTCCAGCACAGATGTGGGATGAGATGGTAGGCTCAGCGAGCCCCCAGTGGAACTCCACCTCCAGGCTGCAGGCCTGGGGATCATCAAATTACTAAGCCAACACCAGCCTTTTAGTTTTAATTGAAACAACTACTATTAAATATAAAATAAATACAATAACTGTCGGCTGGGTGCAGTGGCTTATGCCTGTAACCCCAGCACTTTGGGAGGCTGAGGCGGGCAGATCACTTGAGGTCAGGAGTTTGAGACCAGCCTGGCCAACATGGCGAAACGCCTTCTCTACTAAAAATACAAAAATTAGCCGGGCATGGTGTGTGCGCCTGTAATCGCAGCTGCTCAGGAGGCTGAGGCAGGAGAATCGCCTGAACTCGGGAGGCAAAGGTTGCAGTGAGCTGAGATCGCGCCACTCTACTCCAGTCCAGCCAACAGAGTGGAACTCCATCTCAAAAAATAAATAAATAAAATAAATAAGAACTCTGATGGCAACAATTGCAGCATAAGGGTGAGTCATTTATTTACTAAGAATGCTTTTAATGTACTAAAATTAATTTTACTAATGAATTTAAAACTTAAAACAGCGATGCAGACATGTGGACCAAATTGTATAAACATACAACGTGGTATAAAATGAGAAGTCATTCTCTGCCACTCTGGATGCCAGCCACTGTCACTGGTTTGCTGCTTGTCTTTCCCAAGACAAGATGGGTTTGCCATTTTGAGACTATTTTAAAATGCTGACTTAAGGTTCATGGAGAGTAGCATGATGCCATCTACATCATGCCTCTGGCTTTTTAAAAAATAATGAGCACATATTACTTCTGTACACACACACACACATTATTTTTTAAAAGCAAGAGAAAATCAATTAAGAAGAGCCTACAGGTTGGGTGCGGTGGCTCTCACCCGTAATCCCAGCATTTTGAGAGGCCGAGGTGGGTGGATCACTTGAGGCCAGGGGTTCAAGACCAGCCTGGCCAACATGGTGAAACCCTGTTTCTACTAAAAATACAAAAATGGGGCCGGGCACAGTGACTCACACCTGTAATCCCAGCACTTTGGGAGGCTGAAGCGGGTGGATAACGAGGTCAGGAGTTTGAGATCAGCCTGGCTAACATAGTGAAACCCTGTCTCTACTAAAAATACAAAAATTATCTGCGTGTGGTGGCCTGCAACTGTAGTCCCGGCTACTCGGGAGGCTGAGGCAGGAGAATCTCTTGAACCCAGGAGGCGGAGGTTGCAGTGAGCCGAGATGGCACCATTGCACTTCAGCCTGGGAGACAGAGCAAGACTCTGTCTCAAAAAAAAAAAAAAAAAAAAAAAAAAAAAAAAAAAAAAAGAAAGGAAGAAAGAAAGAAAGAAAGAAAAGAAAAAGAAAAAAATAATAATGGCCAGACTTGGTAGCTCACGCCTGTAATCCCAGCACTTTGGGAGGCCGAGGTCGGCGAATCACCTGAGGTCGGGAGTTGGAGACCAGCCTGACCAACATGGAGAAACCCTGTGTCTACTTAAAATACAAAATTAGCCGGGAGTGGTGGTGCATGCCTGTAATCCCAGCTACTCAGGAGGCTGAAGCAGGAGAATCGCTTGAATCCAGGAGGTGGAGGTTGTGGTGAGCCAAGATGGCACCACTGCACTCCAGCCTGGGCAACAAGAGCGAAACTCCATCTCAAAAAACAAAAAATTTAGCCGGGAGTGGTGGCATGTGCCTGTACTCCCATCTATCCAGGTGGCTGAGGCACGAGAATTGTTTAATCACCTGAACCCAGGAGGTGGAGGTTGTAGTGAGCTCAGCACTCCGGCCTCAGGGACAGAGCAAGATTGTCTTCAAAAGAAAAAAAAAAAAAAAAAAGAGCCTGCTGGAATTGAGAATGACACATATTTCCAGACAGCTAGAAGCCAGCAACCCCACCTGCCCAGAGGCTGGGAACTGGGAGTCTCTCTCAGCCCTTCTGTGCCCAGTGCCCAGGCCTCTGGTGTCTGCCTGTACCCAGGCATCTGCCATCAACAAACTTCTACTATCAAACCCAGAAAACCCAGGAACCTGTAGCTTCTTCCCTGGAACCCTGGGATCACTGTGCAGAGGCTCCTGGGGTCCCACCCGCTGACTGCCTGGATACAAAGAACAGCCACCATGCCCTCTAGGTGCCCTCGGCAGCACTCTCTACTGCTGAGACTCAGGCCTGGCCTGGCAGGCCGGGGCTCTCTGCTGGGGCTCGGAGAAGCAGGATCAGTTGGTCATTCACTTTTTAGGGGAGCAGGAAAAGGCTCAGAACACAAAACAAACAAAGCAATTCCCAAAGGAACTGAGTCCTGTACCACAAAACCCACATCAGCAGAACTCTGGAATACCAGTGCCTGGGTCTCTTTCGACAAATGGACATGCCCTCTCAACGTGCTTCTCTGAGCCCTATCAGCCCAGAAGGTCTGTCCTGCCCCACTTTCTCAATTTTTATTATAAATTGGAAATGAGAGAATTTGGGGTTTGTTTTCCTGCTGTAAATTCATATCCTGCCACTGAACATGCTCCCAGGAGACTGCAAATACCCTCCCCTTCTCCACAGGCTCTGAAGCCCTAGTGTAAAAGGATCTCAATGTCATCTGGACAAACATCAATTTCCATTGTACCACAGATGTCCTGACACACCAATTAATAGAGTTCCAGCAAATAGATATTGGCCAGGGAGGCCACACGTTATGGTGACTCAGCGCTCCAGCTCTGGGCTCAGATGGGCCTGGGTTCCCATCGCAGCTCAGCAACTTCCGGTAATCTCCCTAAAATTTCAGTTTCACTGTGATAAAAATGAGGATAGTAACAGAGAGCAGCACTCTGAGGGCTTAGCAGATTCTATTTTTTTAAAAAGTTGTTGGCCAGATGCAGTGGTTCACACCTATAATCCCAGCACTTTGGGAGGCCGAGGTGGGCAGATCACCTGAGGTCAGGAGTCCGAGACCAGCCTGGCCAACATGGTGAAATCTACTAAAAATACAAAAATTAGGCGGGGCGCGGTGGCTCAAGCCTGTAATCCCAGCACTTTGGGAGGCCAAGACGGGCGGATCACAAGGTCAGGAAATCGAGGCCATCTTGGCTAACCCGGTAAAACCCCGTCTCTACTAAAAAATACAAAAAACTAGCCGGGCGAGGTGGCGGGCACCTGTAGTCCCAGCTACTCGGGAGGCTGAGGCAGGAGAATGGTGTAAACCCGGGAGGCGGAGCTTGCAGTGAGCTGAGATCCGGCCACTGCACTCCAGCCTGGGCGACAGAGCCAGACTGTGTCTCAAAAAAAAAAAAAAAAATACAAATACAAAAATTAGCCAGGCATGGTGGCCCATGCCTGTAATCTCAGCTGCTTGGGAGGCAGGAGAATTGCTTGAACCTGGGAGGTGGAGATTGCAGTGAGCCAAGATTGCACCACTGCACTCCAGCCTGGACGACAGAGTAAGACTCCATCTCAAAAAAAAAAAAAATTAAAAAGTTGCTAAGACCCTTTTAATCCTTCAACATTTAGTGGCCATTTGCTATGTGCTAGGTACTTTCTAGAACTGTCATTTTAGGCACCTGAAATTATAGTAAATTCTGTGACTGGAGTAAGCCGGGAGGTTCCCCAGGGGTCACATCAGTGGATCCAACCAGATGCATGCCCTGCTTGGGTGCCTCCACTGACTGCCTGAGCTCTAAAACCCTATTGCCTTCGTTTCTGTTGAGAAGGCTGTTATTCTGTACTTATGGAAAGTTTTAGAGCAGCAATAGCATATTCTGCTTATTGAATAAAGATGTTCCTTACTATTTTTGGCAAGTAATGGGTTACTGTTATGAAATATGAGCGGCAGTTCTGAGTGGCAGAAAGTTTAAGAAAACATCACAGCAGAGGTCCTTCTCCTTGGCTAACTCACCCACACACACAGAATAAACAGCCGATTGATTCCCAAGTCGTCCAGGGAGAGGCCTGGGGAACAGCAGCATCTTCTCATCTAGCCCACAGGGGCTGCGTGAGCTCTGGGCCTCGGCCTCATCTCGAGGGTGGCCACATACACCCAGACACATAATTTATCTGGTAAGTGGAATCTGACATTGTGACAAAATGATTTGAGAAACCTGCCACCACAAAAAGTATATCCAACTTTAAAAGTAAAATGGGTAGCATTTTGCTTCCTTGTCATTCATGCAAACAGTCCCTTCTTAGAAGTCTTGCTAACTCTGTAAAAGCATTGACAGCCAAACTGGTGGATCTGTCTGTATCACATATGTTATCACATATCTATACCTATATCATGTGTGTATGTGTGTGTGTCCTGATCCTCTTTTTTTGGTTGTTGTTGTTGAGACAGAGTCTCGCTTTGTCACCCAGGCTGGAGTGCGATGCTGCTGATAGCTCACTACAACCTCTGCCTCCTGGGTTCAAGCAATTCTTCTGCCCCAACTCCGGAGTAGCTGGGATTACAGGCACCTGCCACCACGCCCCGCTAGTTTTTGTGTTTTTAGTAGAGATGGGATTTTTTTTTTTTTTTTTGAGGAGTCTCGCTCTGCTGCCAGGCTGGAGTGCAGTGCCGGATCTCAGCTCACTGCAGGCTCCGCCTCCCAGTTCACGCAATCTCCTGCCTCAGCCTCCCAGTAGCTGGACTACAGCGCCTGCCACCTCGCCCGGCTAGTTTTTTTGTATTTTTTAGTAGAGACGGGGTTTCACCGTGTCAGCCAGGATGGTCTCGATCTCCTGACCTCGTGATCCCCGCCTCGGCCTCCCAAAGTGCTGGGATTACAGGCTTGAGCCACCGCGCCCGGCCAAGAGATGGGGTTTCACCATGTTGGCCAGGCTGATCTTACACTCCTGACCTCAGGTGATTTGTCCACCTCATCCTCTGAAAATGCTGCAATTACAGGCTTGAGCCACTATGCTCTGCCTGATCCTCTTTTTTCAGTTTAAATTCCTGATCGAATGTAGATGACCATTTTTCTTAATCCTATAAACTCGGTTGCTTCCCTGAAGATATTCTTCAGCCTCCTTGCCCTCGGACTGAATTTCTGTCTGAATGTCTATTCATGTTTTCTGACTTTGTTTGGCTTCTAGCCAGTGTGACCTGCACAGCGAGATGAGACTCCAGCCCCCACATCTGCCTCAGCCTGAAGCCCTCTTGCCAAAATGATGTAGGCATTTCTGGTCTGTCTCTTGTGTTCACGTGTGTGGGCATGTGTGTGCGTATGGGGTTGGTGAGGGGATGGGTGGGAGCCCTCCATCACATCTATATCAGGATGGCTGGGAAGGAGGGTATGAAGGTGAAGATGTGTGTGACAGGGTGGTGGGGTGAGGATCTGGGAGGGTGCATTCTGTTAGATGTGGGATTCAGCCGCACTGGAAGCAAATTTTAGGATGCGGTGGCCCAGCCAGATGGGCCACCTCTGTCCTGGGCCTGCGCTGCTTTCAGTCGTCTCTGCACCCTGCCCCACGGCCGTCTTACCTCACTTGAAACCCAATCCAGGAACCGCTCAGCTTTTTTTTTTATCCTCCACCTCCTGCTCCTCCAAGCACCACCCCTCAGCTGGGACCCAGGGGCTAGTCCCCCTGCTGTCACCTCTGGGAGAGTCCCTAGGGCCTTGTTATTCAGGAACAACCAAAGGAACCCATCCCAGAAACTACTAGGCCCTGGCACCCCCAGGGGTCTTAGAAAGAGCTTCAGGGTCTGAGTCCTGGGGAGAAAATGGAACATGGACTAAAGGTCAGTCGCTCTCTGCTCCTACAGAACACCCGAAAATCTCCATCAAGCCCCAGCCCCACCCCGAGGGGAGCAGAGAAGTGTGGTGGGAAGCGCCTGACCGCCTCCGCACAGCACTTGCTATCAGTCTACCCCCAGCAGCCGGTGGGTAGGTGGGCACCGTCCCTCTACTCCTGGGCCAGATTTCCTGCCAAAGGACACTGTCCATGGAGGGTCCCAGTGTGGGCCTGCCCGGGTGACCACCTCTCTGCTTGGTTTGCACTCTCCGCCACTGCCCAGACACCTGGATCTTTTCTGCCTCTGCCCAAGCACTGCCTTACCAGGAAGCCCTCCTCTTTCCATTCCCCTCTGAACCTTCCTGGCTCGGCCTCATCCCTGCCACACCACAGGAAGTGATATTTATCTGCCGTCTTTTTTTTTTTTTTTTTTTTTTTTTGAGATGGAGTCTCATTGTGTCGCCCAGGCTGGAGTGCAGTGGCGTGATCTCGGCTCACTGCAACCTCTGCCTTCCTGGTGCAAGCAATTCTCATGCCTTAGCCTCCTCAGTAGCTGAGATTACAGGCGCCTGCCACCACACCCTGCTAATTTTTGTATTTTTATTAGAGATGAGGTCTGACCATGTTGGCCAGGCTGGTCTTGAACTCCTGACCTCAGGTAATTCACTCACCTACGCCTCCCAAAGTGCTGGGATTACAGGCATAAGCCACCGTGTTCAGCCTGTTTCCTGGCCCTGTCTGTCTCCTCTGAGAAGGCTCAGGAAGCGCAGCTATTAGTGCTAACAGTCTCCCCAGATGGCCTGCAAAACCCCCAAGTCTGCTGCCACCAAGGGAGATCTGGTTTTCTGGTCCGTAAACTGTAAATAATCACAGAGTCCTCCTCCTGGGGCCGCGTGGGGATTAAATACCGTACCGCATATCCAGCATCTGGGAGAAGCCTGACACGCGGGAAGCCATCGCTGAGACTGGAGTCATGAGCCGTAAGCCACTGGTGCCCACGCATGCAGAATGAGGGCCATCAGACCGCTAAATGGCTGCAGACACACATCCTCTCTCCCACCCCAACTCGTTCCCTGGGCTGCCTCTCCCCATCTTGCTTCTCTGTGTCTCTGTGACCCCTGAACATCGGGACACCCTCAGCCAACATCCGGGGACCTCACTATTGGGATGCTCGTGACATTCCCAATGGCATCAAGTTGAGAGCCCTATCCTTTCTGATCTGCAGCAGAAAGCTTCCCATGGAGGTCACACACCTGGAGAGCGGGGTGTCTGGAGACCACCTGTCTGCTGTAGCCCCATGGCCTGAGCAAAGCCAGCGAGGCCAGTGTCAGCTCCCCCTCTGTCCACTGTGGTTCCTGGACATCGCTGCCCTGCACACCTCCCCACACCGGGTTTACCAGCTGGTCCCTACACAACAGTGCACACGCACACACCTCAATGGCCTTGTAGAAGATGCTGGTGCCGATCTGGACCACCTCTAGGTTCTGCTCCTGCTCATTACGTGCACACTTGATGTAGGTCATCCAGCTCCGGTGGTCCTCCTGGCTGGCATCTATGAAGTAGCGCACCGTGCCATCCTCATTGAACACCTGGGCACAGATGGATCGAGGACCAGGTAAGGCAGGGCTATGTCATGTGTACAATCTTCCAGGCACTTCCACACATACACTCTCCATCCTCAAAACAGCCCCAGGAAGTGGATAAAGCTTCATTTTCCCACTGAGGAAAGGAAGGCTGGAGAGGTTCAGGGACTTGCTTGAGGCTACCCTGTTGGAAGTGGCCCACAGGGGGTCAGTCTCCAGGGCCCTATGGGCTGACCATGATATACACTCCTGTTGCCACGTCCTCCCTACCCCCAGAAGAAAACGGTCTCCAAGGATCACTGCTCAGACAAAGTGGCCCTGAGCTATTTCAAGGGATGCAGAGGTGCTCCCCATGGCACTGGGAACATCAGCCAGGACCTCAGAGAGGGAGGATCCTGGAGCCCAGGGAGGAGGGCTGGCTCGCTGTGGCACTCCAGTTTGGCCTAAACCCCTTCACACAAGCTGCCAAGGCCACTCGGAGGTCATACTGGACCCCAACTTCCTGACCCAGCAACTGGAGAATGTGGTTAGTGGCCCAGCCCTCCAGAGGAGGGAGAAGATAAGGTCAAGAGAGGCCTCTGGGCCATCCCCCAGTTCTATAAAGTTGGGCTTCTCCAGGGTCCACCAGGAGGGGCCTGGAGTGGGGGAACGGGTGAGGGAATGGGATTAGGAAGGGTGTGCACCAGTCTGGCACACTGGTTTCCCGTTCTGCAAGGTTAGGAGGAAGCACAGGGGTGGCCCTCCCTGGCACTGTCACTGTCATGGGTGGAAAGGCCTAGGATGGAAGCCTCTTGGAGCTTCCATTTCCCTCGGTAAAAAGGGAACAGTAAGGCATGGGCTGCTGAGGTCATCCGTGACTGCAGGCTGGGGACACAGAAGCTGACTCAGTGCCAGCTCAGCCACGGTCATCGCGAATGTCATTCTGCCTTCACCAGGCATTCTCCTTTCCAGCCCCACCTCACCCCTAGCCCAGGACTGGCCTTGAGGGGCTTCCCAGGCTGCTTCTGGGGCCAGGGAAAGAATGCAAGTAGCTGGTAGGTAGCCTGGAGGGAGGGCACATGGGGACCCTGGGCAAGCCACCTGACTGCTTTGGGTCTCAGTGCCCTCATCTGCCAAGTGGAGCCAACGACAGTCCTGCTCTGCCGGGGTGTCCAGAGGAAGGAGGGTCGGATTTTCCGTGCCTTCTCGGCACGGGTTGGGAGGCGCCTAGAGGTGGGGTGAGCTCCAGGCTGGGGCGGCTTAGAGTCCGGGCTCAGGGGGCGTCCAGGCGGGGAGTGTCCGCTGCTCCCTGCCTGGTGGAAGCGGCGACCACCGGACACCGCAGTCCCACCCGCGGCCAGCGCCCCTCGCCGGTCCCTGCGCCCCTCTGCCCCAGCCCGCGCGCACTTACCTCCCACATGAGATTGTTGTTCTTGCAGATGTCCACGTGCTCCGGGGCGATCACGCGGCCGGTGAAGGGGCCCATCTCGGTGCCCGCCTTGATCCACGTCTTGGAGAAGATGCCGAGGCCCTCCCCAGGGATGGAGCTCTGAGCGATGATCACCTCCGCCGGCAGCACCAGGCTGGACAGCTTCTGCACTTCTGTGGCGGCAGGGCCAGGAAAACCGGTCAGAGCCCGAGGCAGCTGAGGACCGGCCCTTCCTTCCCCGCCGGGACCCCGGCTTCGGTCCTGCCCAGACCGGCCAAACCCAAGTCGGCCCCAAATCCAGAGAAGCCACCCGGGTGTTGGGGGCAGTCGGATGTGCAGAGGCTCAAGGACCTCTCCTCTGTTTGCAACCTGGGGACCCTCCGTGCCCTGGAAAGCGAGTGGTGCGTTGGGGATCGTTTTTGGAAGCGGGTTTTTAGTCTCTCCGCGAATTCTCAAAGCATTCACAACTTCTTCCGCTCTCTGCCCTGGATAAGTTTAAGAATTAATGAGCCAACGGCACCGAGCGGTTTTATGCACGGGAGAACTGAGGCCAGGTCCTGCAAGGAAGTGAAGGCCAACCGGAGACTCTTTTGCCTAGTCGAGTTCCGGGAGCCCACTGTACGTCCAGGCTCCGGGCACTGGCAGAGGACCCAGTGATCAGCGCTGGGGACAGACCTCGGGCTGGCAGGTGTTGGAGGTGCCAAAGAAGCACCGGCAGCAGCTGGCCAGGCTCCGCGCTCGCTGTGTGACCTCGGGCGCGCCCGAGTCCCTTTCTGTTCCCAGGCCATGGGGTGCCAGGGAGGGCGGCGCCCGGGCTCAGGCAAGCCCCGATGTCTTCTCTCTGGGCGGGGAGGGGCCGCGGCGGCCCCCAGCTCCCCGAGGGTTCTCCTGTCGGGCCTCTGCGGCCGGGCTGGGAGCGGCGAGGCGTACAGGGGCGGCCTCCATGTCTTACAAGGTTCCCCTCTAAGCTACCTGGGAAAATACCCGGCGAGCGGGCCGGCTGAAAGGGGGGGGTTAAACGGTGTCCATTGCGGCGCGGCCGGCAATTTGTCACGCTGTTAAAGTGATCGCATTCATTCGGCTCCATTCGAAAGAAATTGCTAATTCTAAATTCATTAGCCCTGGAAGAATGCTGTAGCAGTAAATTGTAGCTCAATGCGGAGGGGACTTGTTTAAAAGGGGCCGAGGAATTCCCCTTACAAAAAGGGGGGATTAGATGGTTGACATAGCGTGAATGGAAGTGGAATTAGTCTTCACGGTAAATTAAGAGAGGAACAGAAATCGTAAAGGGGGAAAAGAGGGCGACGCGCAGAGATGCCAGAGCCAGGGGAAGATATTGTTTGCGGGTTGATGAATGAGGAATAAGAACTTGAGACATCTTAAAGAAAAGAAACTTCTCTCGCTCTCTTTCTCTCCCCCGCTCTCCCCGCGGCTTTTTCTCCCCGCCCGCCCTCCCTCAACCCCCTCCCCGGGCCCGGCTGCCTTTTAAAGTTCTTGGTTTAAGTGGGAACTTTCGCGGGTCAAGCCCAAGTTAACTAAATGAATTTAAAACCCCTTCTTTTTGAGTCAACTGCTATTACACGCCTAGTAAGGCTTTAAATGCCAGGAACCCGCCAGCTCAAGCGCGGGAGGGGAAAGGAGGGGCCGGCGGGGGCGACGGAGCCGAGCGACGGGGTCGCCGGGATCGGTCCTTGAGCCGTGTGGACTGTGGGGCTGCCCCGCGCCCCACCTCGGCTTGGTGGCTCGCGTCCTTGTTTGGCCCATGGGGAAACTGAGGTGCACGGAGCGCCGGGAGCGCCCAGGTTGGCGCAAGCAGCAGAGAGGCCGGGTATCCCAGCCGCGTCTCGCGCATCGCCAGGACTGGAATGGGGGTCGCCGGGAGGAGGGATTGCGCCAGGCCCCGACGGCTTGACTCACCGCCGGAGAAGGACTGCGCCAGCACCTCGGCGGTGAAGGCCGTCTTGGGGCTGGCGTGGTGGCTCTTGTCCTCGAAGAGCTGCTCCCCGAGCACGTTGCGCCAGCGGCCGTACAGGAAGCTGTGCAGGATGTCGGAGGTGATGACCTCGGCCAGCGCCAGTCCCGGCGCCTTCAGCCCGGTCTTGAGCACCAGGGCCTCAGCCGGGAGCACGGAGCCCATCATGGGCGGCCCGGAGCTCCCCGGCGCCGGGGGACGGCCGGGCCGACGGGGGAGGTGGGCGGGCGAGAGGGGAGCCCAAGGGGCGAGAGGAGAGGGCTGCGATGGAGAAGGAACCAGAGCAGGGGGAGGACGGAGAGGAGGAGGACGCAGGAGGGAGCGGGAGGTGAGGGGGCGACTGGGAGGAAAGTGAACGAGGGGGAGAGAGGAAGAGAGATGGTGAAATCTGCGGAGATGGCAAAGGAGGCGCGGAGGGTGGAGAGACGCGGGTGGAGGCGTAGGCGGGTGCGGGGGGTGCGGGGTGGGAGAGAGGCGGGTGGTTGCAGGGAAGCGGCAGCAAGGGGCTCTCAGACGCGCGCTAGCCTCTCGCACACTCGGCCGGGGCCGTCTTCCCCTTGGCAAAATCTCAGCGCCTTTATAGGAGCCGCAGTGACCCTCCTAATTGGTTATTAATGACCCCCTGACGTCGGAGGACAGACTTGTTGTACCCGGCTGGGCTTGAGGAGCCTTCGTCGCGAGAGCGCGAGGGGCGGGGGCGCGCGGACCGCTCGGAACAGTCCCCCTCCACTCCTCCCTCCCCTTCCTGGTCGTTCCTTCCCCCTCCTGTTTTTTCTTCTCTCCCCGTGGGAAGCGCCAGGCAGGGAGGGAGGCTCAGCCGGCTGTGAGGAGAGGAGGGGACAGAGCAGGGGAGGGGGTGCGGCGAGGCTCGCCAGGACTCCAGGGAACGGGCTGGACAAGAGGGGACGCCTGGCTTCGGGCCCCGCGCTCCCCTCAGGCCGGATCCACGCTCACCTGCCTGGCCCAACCCGGCGTTCACCTTTCCTCTGTTGCCCCGGCCGGCCGGCCCAGCCCGGCACAGCTCTCCCTCCCTGTCCAGGGCCCGCGTCCTCTTCCCTCCCCGGCCCTGCACTCCCCTGGCCACCACAGTCGCCCCGAGCTCGCGCGCAGCCCCAGTTGCCACGCGGATCCCCTGCTCAGACTCTGCTGCTGAAGCCGGCGCTTCGCTTCAAACGGGCCGCACCAACTCCGGCCGCACCAACTCGCTCCCTGTGCGCAGTCGGGTGCGAAACTCCTCCGCGGGCTCACGGGGCTGCCGAGGCGGGGCTGCGGCCGTCGTCGGGGCTGGGGCTGGTCCCGGCCTGAGACAGCTTCGTGGGCGGCCAGGCTTCTGGCTCTTGCGGGGCCAGATCCGGGGTCGAGATGGGCGGACGGGAATCGCACTGGCAGCCTGTCTCTGGGAAAAGAATTTCCTACTGGATATAGGGGGATTGAAAGGGGTCCCGAGACCGTTCCTAGGTGGGAGCAGGCGTGCCTGAGAGCTAAGTCCCTCCGAAACTGCAGGCAGCTCCGCGAGAGGCCTCAGCGCGGGTTCGGCTTGCGACTCGGCCTTGGGGCTCCTTGCTGAGCTGCAACCTCGGGAAGCCCGTGGCGTTGCGGCGCCCCTTCCTTCTTGCCTCCTTGTTCTTTCTTTCTCCTCTGCCTCTCTCTTCTTTCCCTTCCTCCCCTCTATTCCTCCTGCCCATCACCCCAGGAGTAGACTTGCTTTGCGGCGGTTTTGAGGCACCTCGGAGCCCAGCGATCCCCTCTCCTGAAGCAGGGAGCTGCTGAGCCGGGCGGAAAGCCCCGAGTTTCTGCAGGTTTCGCCGCTCCCCAGTGTCAGCCTCAAGCCTCGGACCCCAGGCCCTGACATGCTTGGTGAGGGGGCTCACCCCACCTGCCGCACTTCTGGCTCCCACCGCAAGGCTACAATTTCAGATGCCACTAACCGAGGTGCCGGGACCCTCTCGGCGTGGGTCAGGCTCATGGGTTAGTCTCCGCTGGACCGTGTGGACTCCCCAGACCTTCTCCGCAGCGCGGAGGACTTGGGTGGAAGGACAGCGAGCTGACCTCCCATAAGCGAGACCCTGTCCTAACGCCTCTTGGCATAGAGGCCCCTCCACCACCCGGACGCGCCTTGGCTAAGAGGGCCTCACACCTGGCGGCCAGACTCCAGACCCCTGGTCCCCAGTTCCTGCCAGTAGTCTCCGGCATCCCCCGTCCCCGTTGGCACGCAAAGGGGGGAAGGCGGCGGTAGCTGGCCTTCAGACCCGGCGCCCGGGTCCGCCCGAGGCTGGCGCCCAGGGAAAGGAACACCTGGCAGAAGGCAGGACTGTTGGGCAGGGCGCCAGCAGAGGGCAGCCCTGCTGAGGAGGGAGGTGGGTTACTGTCCCCGAACCCTCCACTCATTTTCCGACGCAGCCGGCGGGTCACATCGGCTCCCTGGCCAGAGCTCGAATCTGACGGGGCGTCTGCAGTCCGATGGCTCCTGCAGGGAACCCTCACCTGCGCCTACTTCTTGGCTTCTAGGAAGACCTAGGTGGAGAGGAGAAAGTGCTGCGAGCGAGGGAGACGACGTCGGGGAGCGCTGCCAGGAGCCAAGCGCTGCGGCAGCTCCCAAGCCCCGAAAGCGACCTCAGTTCCTCCAGCAACCCAAAGGAGGATAAGGAGTGCTGTGTGTCCCGTAGACTGCCCCTTTCCTCTCTGAGCCTCAGGGTCCCTGTCTGTGCAATGGTTTGAGTTGGACTTTGTGAACTGAGGTTTCTTTGCTTGGTCTCACTTTAGGTAAGATCACTTTCCCCCACGACAATCCCGAGGATTTTGCCCTCTCCAGGGCCACGTCCCACTGCGGGAAGCCCTCAGGTCCGTGCATCCTCCGTGCTGGGGCGCAGCATTTGGGTCCTGAACCTCGGCTTAGAGTCAGAGGCTTGGATTCCGCTGGCGCAGTGACCACGGGCTCGGACTGCGGCCAGTTGAGTCCCGTTCCTCTCCTCCGGACCCTCAAACCCGGGGAGCAGTGCTGGGAACGGGGCGGAAGCGGAGGCCAGAACAGCCTCCCAGTTGGTGCGCCGAGACCTCCACCATGCTCACATTTTGTGCTTCTGTCTAGCCGCAAACCCACCTGGACCCCCGCCCGGGGAAAAAGGAGCCTGTTGGTAGCGCCCAGTCTCAAGGTGCATTGAAATAGGCAGCAAGACCCTGGGCTTGCCTCTCCCCGGGAGGAGATTTCGAGGGGAAACATTCCGGGCTTTCCCAGCGGATGACCCATGTCATTTTGTCATTTTCCGCGGGGCCCAGGCGCGGAATCTGCTCGCGCAAAAGCCCCCTCCCCTCGGCCGGGCCGGAGCTCGCAGGCACTGTCGCCCCCCTCGCCCGCTGGCCGCCACTTGGCGATCTCTTTAATATTCATGGGCGTTAATAGAGAGGCCCCCAGTATATCGGTCCATTGTGGGCGGCTCGTAGGACTTGAATAGGCCTCGGCCCCCTTTCTTCGGCGAGGCTTCCCGAGGGGCCGGGCCAGGAGTGAATGGCCCCGCTTCCCGCTCCTCGCCCCCTCCCCCTTTCAGGGAGAACATCTTTATCCTCATCGCCGCCGCTGCCGCCGCCGCCCGGGCCCCCATTCACGCGGCCCCGGCTCCGGGCGGAACGAATCAATTTGCCGCGGCTCTTCGGAGGTCATCCTCGCCGCTCGGGTACCCCCTTCCCCCGAGCCCACGGGAGTGGAGAGAGGGCCGCCGCGGCAGGCTGACGGCCCCACGGAGGGACATTGAAGGGGAAGTGAAGGAGAAGAGCAGGGGGCGATCCGGAGGGCTGGTCGGGCCGGGGCGGGCAAGACAGGCTCAGGGCCCGGCAGCCACCCAGGGTCGGCTAATTTCTACTTGTTGCCTAGCGCAGGGCGGAGCGCCGAGGGGAAGGAGGCCGCGGCCCAAGCCCGGAGGTCCGTCCGGCCTCCCCTCGAGGCACCAGCGCGTGTCCCTTCGGCCTGGCTGAGGCACCTATGAGACCGGGGGCGTGTGGGACAGCCCAGGGTTTCCCCGGCCCCGCGCCCCAGCCTGCACGACGCTTTCGTTCTCGCCAGTGCGCCGGGGCTCAGCTCCGGGACGGCCAGGTTGCGACAGTGCCCTTCAAGGGGACGCTCAGAGGGGCTGCCGGCTTCGCGGCTCCTGCACCCAAGCTCTGGGGCCCCTGCCTGGGTGCGGGGGAGGGGGGTGCAAGTCGGTCAGGCCGGACCAAAGCGCACGGGTCCCCGCCCCGCTCGCCTCGCCGGCTCTCAGAGGCGCAGAAAGAAGCCCATTGTCCGCCGAGAAATACATTTTTGGGGGCAGAGTGAAAGCCCGTCTTTCTTTTGAACTTTAGAAGAAAGTCTCCTGTTCTCGCCCCTCGGAGGGAGAGATTTGTCCCCCCTCCCGGGAGCTCCTCGCGGCTCCTCCTCCCGAAACATCTGCCGGGGGAAAATCCACCCTGGAGGGCAGATCGCGCTCGCTTTAAGCCTGGCGAACTCATTAAAAAGATATTAGCGGCGGGGGTAGGTCCCGCGCAGGTATCGATCGGCCGGAATGAGCCCCAGGAAGAAAAGGCGAAGAATGTGCCCGCGCCGCGCTCAGACGCCCACCGGCCCCGCCCAGCCTCCGCGCCCCAGCCCCGCACAGGGAGAGGGGCCACCGCGCCGCCTCGCGCTGTCCGTGAGTCCCGCGGCCCGCGGTCCTGCCGCCCCCGCGGGCTCCTCGGCACAGCCCGGGTGCAGCCGCTCGACAACCCTCCCCTGCCCATGCTGCCCTCCGTCCTGGCTTCCCCCGCGCACAGGTTCTCGTCCGCTCCCCTCCTCCGCCAGCTGCCGTCGCGCGCCCAGCAGCCGCGTCTCTCTTCTCCTCCTCTCCTTCTCTTCCTCCTTCCCCCGCGCTCCCCTTTCGCTGGCGCTCCGGCCCCCTCTCCAGCTTCTCACACCCTCTCCGTTTCCTCCTCACATGTCTCTCTCTGGCTTTCTGAGCCTCAATCTTTCTTGTTCCCATTATGGCAATGGCCCAGGAAATTCCTTCCTCGCGTGCCGCCCGCGCCGCTCCCCGCCCCCAACCCCCTGTTCCCCGTAGGACGGTTCAGGGCTCCAGGGCGCCCCCGCCGGCGCGTACAAAGGTGCCGGTGGGCTGCCTAGGTGGTGGGGGCGAGGCCGAAGAAACGGTTTCAACAGACGT